GTGTTTTGTGAACAGATCAGTCAATCTTAAAAAAGTTTATTTTCTGTCATGTGAAGGGCTGCTCTTTTAATAGAAAGATTACTTGGTTTTTATGATCAGTCATACAACCTTTGCTCTATGATACAAGTAATGCTGATTCCATGGACAAATATTAATAAAATTTTTAGGATTCTACTATTGGAAATCTGTCACGTTAATAATGTTAGACTAACATACTAAGTAATTTAAGTTGCATTTTACCTGCAAAACCTTGCAAAGTTGTTATTAAAAAATATCCAACTCCATAATTATATTAGATATAGGCATATAAACTAAAAGATGGTTGGAAATCTTCCAGATGGAAGGGAGTGGTGGTATATGTGTGTGGTGGGTTTTCTGTGGTGGGTTGTTTGTTTTTAAAGTTGCATCCCGAGACAGGTCCTGTGTGGTTTTTTTAATTGATTTTTGGTGGTATACTCTTATATGTTCTTTCTTTGAACATACCCTTCAAGAAAGGAAAAATATGTACTGCTGATTAAGATTATAATCAGCATTTTCAGTATTGGATATTTTCCAGAAAAGAAGCAGGTAGTGAGGTAAAAGATAAGAAAAAGCAAGTTTTACATTCCAAGATTTTTTTTTTATTATTTCCTTTGCATTCAGGCACTTCTTTCTCTTTTGGCTGAAGCTCCTTTTCTGAAATGGGATGCAGTTAATTTGGAAACTTGTCAGATGCATGAAAGTGTTTGTTTGGTATTCCCCTTCAAAGTGCTTTGCTTTGCCTATATGGCATGAAAGTATGTTTGCTGTCATGGAAGATAGGTCTCCTCAATGTCTATTTTAAATTCCTTTGTCTTGAGATTTTTTGAGAACTTTTGGATCCTCTTATGTCTCTGAGCTCTTGTCTGGATTAAAACACATTGAAAAACTCTTCAGACAGGAACTATTTGCATAGTTGTACAACCCAGAAATATATCTGCCAGTGAAAACTGGTATGTCACAGTATGATGCAGGTGAATGAATCTGCACTGAGCAGCAGGCTACCTGTATTTTTCCCACTTTCACAATGTTAGCAGTAGGCAAAATTTGACAAATCTTTTTTTTCCCCTTAACATCTTATGACTTTTATTTAAGTGAGAATTTGTTTTCTGGACTTTTTAAGTATCTGGAAGGGAGCTGACTGTGCATTTATCAGGGTTCTGATTCACACAAAAATTTCCTGGTCATTTTGTATGACTGTAAGTAAGTGCTTATCCCGCTGTTCATTTTAAAGCCATTCTCTGTGTATGGTTGAACTGGTATATACATACCTATATCAGTATAGTGTTGTTATTAATTTACTGTAGTTTTGATTGTGTGATTGAAGAAAACTGTTTAATGAGGGCATGGTCTTTCACAGAAGAATTGTGCTTTTACTCTGATGCTAATTTTCAACTAACTGTTTTGAATGAGATTATTTCTGTGTTCTACTGCTTGCTACAGTCATAGAATTGTGATTTTTCTGATGTTTTCAGTGGAACGGGGTTTGACTGAAAATGTGTTTACACATGAATAATAGGAATTGGATCTTAAAGACATGTAAATTTAATTTTTCACATTACTTTTGTTATGAACAATGCAGCTGGTTCTTTACAGAAGAGAAAAGCCAAGAAAGAAGCACTGAAGTCTGCCCTACTTTAGGGAAACACATCCATCTGCTTCTACAATTAATTATATTGTAAAACAATTTGTGATTAATTATTAAGGCATTAATTATTAAGGGTGCTAAAAATCTTAATACAGTATGCTAGTGAAACGCTGAACACATTCCAGTGGCATCAGATATTCAGGCTGTACTACAATTACTGTGGGAGTAATGACAGAGAAAGAATATTCTTTCTATCCCATTGGAATTCATAAGTATTTACCTGCAGTATATTGTGTGTCATGATTGCAAAGCTGAAAAGAAGAGATAAGATCAGGGCTTTATCCTGTCAGATCTTGAAAAACCTCTAGAGATAGATGACACCACCTCCCTGGGCAACCATTTCCAGTGCTTCTACTCAAAATATAACACTTGTAGGTACTGCAAGGCGCTACTTTTAGGTCCCCCTTGAAGCCTTCTCTTCTCTAGGCTGAACAAGCCCACTTTCCTCTGACTCTTCTTAGAGGGCAAGTACTCCAGCCTCCCAGCCCTTTTGGTGTCTGCTGAACTTCAGTTTCATCAAGTCTGTCTTGCACTACGGGGCTTAAAACTGGGTGCAGTATTCTACATGAAGTATAATGAATGCTAAGTAGAAGGTGATAATCTCCTCCCTTGATCTGCTTACTGCTTATGTTCCTGTTAATACAGCCCAGGATGCTGTTTCCTTCCTTTGCTGCCAGGTCACAGTGCTGGCTCCTGTTGAGGTTGCTGTCCACCGAGATCCTCAGGTCTTTTTCAGCAGAGTTGCTCCTCAGGATGCAGCCTGTATTGACCCATGGATTTGTATGGGTTGAGCTCTCACAAGTAAGCCCTGACTGAGTCATCACTGTTGATAGCCCTCTAGCTTGAACCCTGTCATTAAGCACAGAGGCCTGAGAGACCTTGTCATTGAAGACTAAGGCAAATACTTGTTTCCTACATAGTTTAGATTAATTTAAACTCAGTTGCTGTGATTTTATGAAGACAGCGTGGATAGATTACTTCTATGTAGACCTTCTAATTGGGTCAATCTGTGTTGTGATTTATCAAACAATTATGTGACAGCTTACTTTTCTAGGCATACTGTCTCTGTATCCTAAATACTTTCATTAAGGGAAATATATGGGAAAGTTCTTTGTGGTTCATTGAGATATATAGGAAAGCTCTTTGTGGTTCATTGAGTGTGTTCATGTGACATTATTTTGCAGAGAAGCTGTGAAGTTCTAATGTGAAATTTGATGGGACTGTTTGACACTGCACATGTAGAATCCTCTCACATGGCTCCTATAGCATGAATTATTGTTTTTGACTCACTAATAACAGAAAAGACGTGGGCAAATAAGTTTTTATTTACCTTATAAAAGAATAGTAGTATTAACTACAGCAAATACCATTCTTTGAGATGTGTTGTCCCATACAGGAGTAGGATTGGCTGAGAATGTGTCCTTTATTTCCTTAGTTGAAGAGATAAAGGATATTAAGGATATTCTGCTCAGGTACTCTAGTCAAAAGTATCTGTGTGCACTCCAGAGTGTTTGGTGAAAGAGCATCACCTTCTGAGAGAAAAATCTTGAAGGACTACAATTGCTGTACATTAAATCATGGTATTTTACTTTTAAAGGGAATTTCTCTGGGAGTGAAAATTGCAAGGAAAATGCAAACTTTAATTTCATGTTATGAATACTTCTCCTGTCAGATCTTGGAAAACCTCCAGGATTTCAGAGTATGAATATTTTTACTTGTTTATGAGCAGCTTTTTGCACTGCAAACTAAATAGTTACAATCTTTCCTATTCAAAAATTTCTATTAATTTAACTAATATAAGAAATCAGAAAATAATAAAAGAAAAATTCTCTCAGTCTGAGACTTATTATTGATTACAAAGATAAAAGCTGAAGTATTAGAGGAATGATAGTGTGCCATCTAAATGACATTTAGTCCTTACATAGTTTTGATTCCAAATGGATTTGTAACAGCGGTTGCCAAATCTCAAAAAGAATCTGAGTTTCATTTTTGCTTTAGTACCAAAAGTTCAAATGCTTTTTTGGAACTTTGTCCAAATTATTCTGTGTTTTAAATGGCTAAATTTGCCTAGCTGTATTATGAAAAAAGGTATTACAGGAGTTCTGGTTTTGCTTGCTTTTAGGCAGCCTAGAGAAAGCACTGGTGTACTTTTAGAACTCAGGAAAATAAAAGTAATTTTGAAAAAAGAAACAGAAACAAACTTGTAGTTAAGCAGAGCGATTCAAGCTTAGCTTGTCTTGCTTAAAGGATGAATTAAATTTGTAATTTTTCCCAAAAATTAACCTTCTAGATTAATATACTAATCTTACTGAATCAGATTTTGTGGTTTGGTTGTGGGTTTTTTTGGTTGGTTTTTTTTTTTTTCATTGACCTCAGTGGAACAAGTACTTCACTCCGATCTCTGACTTTTGCTGGGTGGTTGCTCCTTCACGTTCTTGAACTGATTGCCTGACCATCTGAATCACAGTGTTTGCAATTTCTTAATAAATGTCTGCAAACAGGGCCTAAAGCAGATTTCATAATGAGTCATTTTGCAATGCTCTTTTACACAGAAAACTGTAAGAAGTTTGTGTAATCACTTTTTTAATCTTTCTGACTCTCACTGAAGAGATACAGCCAATTGCCAAATGACTGGCAACAACAAAAAAATCACTGCATGTTTTCAGTGCTGTGCTGGCACACATGGCAGCCATTGGCCATAATGTAGAAAATTTTTAGTGGTTGTGGTTTTGTTTATTTTGGGGTTCATAACAAAAAGTGCTAAATCCTCTCCTACTGATGTGGCTGAATTAGTGGAAGAAAAGTATATGAGGAGATAATCTTTCTTCCTCTTGACAGCAGGCAGAACTCTATGGAAATAGGGAAGCTCAGGCTGAGTCACATAATGAAGTGGCCTGTCGTCCTGCAGTGATGTCAGACTGGCCTCCCTAGGCTAAGCTTTGTGTTTAAGAGCTTGGAAGAATAGTCAGGCAAAGTAAACAAGGTATGTTACCATGTACACGTGTGAAATAGGGCATCTTCCATTCTCTCTTCATCCCTAACTGTGTAGGAATGAAGCCAGGATTTTGACCAGAATGTATTCTCTACAGACTATGCAACAGACCATAGCATTGCACGTTTCTTTCTGGTGGTGAAAGAGGTCTAAATTCTACATCTCTTTAAGTCAAAATCAATAGAATTACTCTTGGTTTATAGCAGTATGTGCAATCTGTATTTGTACCATCTATTTTTGCTGTCTTATTACTTGATGTTCATGCAGGTACAGATATACTTCTGTTACACTTTAATATACATTTTGTATAATTTTCAATACTCTCTTTTTTTTGTAACTTAGGATACGAAAATAGCTTCACTGGAGCGCAATATAAGAGATCTTGAAGATGAAATACAGATGTTAAAGACAAATGGAGTTCTGAATACAGAGGACCGAGAAGAAGAAATCAAACAAATAGAAGTTTACAAGAGTCACTCAAAGTTCATGAAAAATAAGGTAAGATCTCTTACCAAAATAGCTTAATGCTGTTTAAATAATGGAAACAAAAGTTTTAACTTGACTCTTTTCAACACAAGCAGCTCTCAGCATGTCTTCTTTTGGGAAATCTCTACTATGCAATACTCAGTAGCTATGGATGAGTGAAGCATTTTGGATAAATACAAATGTGTTTATGTTTTGACTTACAGAGCAGGCTATTTTTCCACTTCTGTAGAGCCTACTATAATCCTGAGTCTATACTGTGTTCCCTTTTCACTTTCTTGTATATGGTGCTTTAATGTTGGTTTTTTTTAATTAGTTAATAATTTTGACTTGCACCATTTTGGCACAAATTTAATTGTGCATTTTTTTGATTTTTAACTGTAGTTTTGCAGTAGGGACTGCTGTTCTATAGATGATGCCTAATTGTAATCTTCTAGAAATTTAACAGCTTGCAATTTGATGACTTTGTTTCCAGAAAATACCTCTCATTTCAAATTATTGTACATAGATAATTATGAGTGGACCACAAATAGATAGTAAATGTGTAGCGATGTAACATATTTTCTGGTATCAAGCTCACAAAACGCTATTACTTGTTCATTATTTTAAAATATATTGGAAGTAAAGCTTGATGTCTAAATTGTTGATCCAGCTGGTCTTTTTACCTCCTTTCATTTTGATGTGCTCAGCTGCTATCTAGGTAAAGATGAGCGCTCCTAATAGGTTTTTCTTGTGAGTTCTAATATTTATTTTCTGATATTTTAATAATTGCTTTAAAAATTGTTAATAAATGTATAGAATCATAGAATGGTTTGGGTTGGAAGGGACCTAGAGATCATCTAGTTCCAAGCCTCTGCCGTGGGCAGGGACACCCTCCACTAGACCAAGTTGCCCAAAGCCCCATCCAACCTGGCCTTGAACACTTCCAGGGAGGGGGCATCTACAACTTCTCTGGGCAACCAGAGTCTACCACTAGTGCCTCACCACCCTCATAGTGAAGAATTTCTTCCTAATATCTAATCTAAATCTACCCTCTTTCAGTTTAAAACCATTCCCCCTTGTCCTATCACTCCATGCCCTTGTAAACAATCCCTCTCCAGCTTTCCTGTAGGGTCCTTTAGGTACTAGAGGGCTGCTATAAGATCTCCCCAGAGCCTTCTCTTCTCCAGGCTGAACACCACCAATACTTTTCAGCTTCTTATACTGCCCTGCAAACAAGAAGGCAGGGGGACACCCAAGAAGCTGCGA